TGTAACTTAATTTATGCATTCCCGATCTACAATTATTATTTTAGTTTATTTTATTTTTTTTTTACGCATTTTTACTTAATGCAACAACGAAGCACCAAAGAGTCCCCAACACAAGAACAACATGACGAAGAAAAGAAACCAAAAAAGGAAACTAAAAAAACGATGAAAAAAAAAAGAAAAAGCCGAAAATAGAAAACCGGTTACAACTAGTCAATTCTAAAAACCACAATCGAATGACGCGAAAAAATATACATATATAGTGCCAGATTATTTATAAAAAATAAAACTATTGAGAAATACATTTCCCTCTTGATTCAGAAGGATTAATTTTTTGTTTATTCGAATTTCCAACAACTCGCGAGGAGGAACTCCCGACGTCAGAATTCAAATATGCTGCATTGTATAATGTCTTTGTTAAATCACTTGATGCTCTATCTAATTTTTGTTCTTCCAAAGTCTCCAAGTTTTCTACTACACCATGTGTCTTTTGCTGTTTTTTCCTTTCCTCTCTTATATCATTATCGTCATCGTTACATTTCCTTTTTAAATCTTTCATTTCAAATTCCATAGCTTCATATTCTTGCGTTGAAATTTGAAAATTTGAACTATAAGGATATCCACAGCGAGTTGTTATATTAAAAGAATTTGAACTATAAGGATATCCACAGCGAGTTGTTATATCAAAAGAATTTGAACCTTCTTGTATACTGAATATTGTAAAATCGGCATTAGGTGTTATATGCCATGTATTTGGATATACCTTTAAGACTGTCTTAGTTTCTCGAATGTCAAGAATTATATATGATTTTATTGGTATTGAAGAATATTTGCCTCCTGTTTTGGTGTAAATAAAACATTAAAATATTAAGATTTTTCCTTAAAAAATAAAGTGGGTTGAGTGGATTGATAAATGTATAATATATACCATCTTGAAATCTTTCATGATGACGCTTCATGTCAATACCATTAATCAAAAGTTCAATAGCCCATTGAGGTTCCGAAATATAAAAATCTACCACTCCATCAGTCGCGAATATCCTTCCAACATCCGGTGAAATATGCATTCCATCAGGTAAACAACTATAAATTGCTCTATAAAATTCCATTTGCCAAACTCTTTCTAATAGTCTCATACCATCTTTTGAACGACCTAAATTATGTATAAGATATCTTGAATTAACACGCGATAAAGCTTCGTGTACTAATTCTTGAAGAGTAAACCCATCTTGTAGAGGTTGTTTGGCTGAAGTACATCGATGAAAAAATGATAAAAGTCGTGCAACCGGCGAGATAAATCCTACGCGACCTTCACGAAGTATGAATTCTGGTCCTTTATCATCAATGTAGAATAAAACACCAGATTTTAGAAGGGCCGTGATTGCTTCATCTGGACCAGTAGAATGTATTTTGATTTCATCATTTAGCAAGAGTTTATCGATTATTTTACCTATTGTAATGAAAATAAAAGCATCGTTAATAGATGAATAATATTAATATGTGGCAGCTGATGCTGAAATTTTGACTTATTACATTATGAAATTTTAAAATAGTTTTTTTTTTCAAGGTAAAAGTTAGTATTAAAAAAGAGTATGTATGGGGCTTCCCACAGTAAAAAGCGGCAGTGGGACGTTTCAATTTTATGTAAAATTTTATAATAATTTTATATTTACCAATTTAAATTTCTAAAATATAAAAATATTTGCTTGTATATAATATAAACAAGCAGTTATTTTAATATTTTAAAATTTTAAATTTGTGGAAATAAAATTATTAAAAGTTTTATATATGTAAATTTTATAGATTTAAATTTCAAAATTAGTTAACTTCAGCATAGGCTGCCATACATAATATTACCTTCAGCTGCATTAAATTTATAAAGAGGGGCACCTCTATGAGCTTTAACATGCTCTATAAAATCAGAAGAAGTAAAATAAGACATTATTTCATCGTCAGTTGTGACCTTGTAGTTTGTGCCTCGATAAGAAAAATAGTTGTCGATGCCATTTAGTATCCAACGGATAAGACCAAAGTGCCCAGCAGTAAATCCCATTATTTTCTGCGCGACCCTTCCACTAACTTCAATTTTCTTTTTAATGTTGTAATTGTTAAACGTTTTAACCAATTCCATTAACTCAGTCTGAGTGCATTTTACTAATTCAAACCCAAATTTTTGTCGAAAATCCATAGGACTTTGTGCAGAAGTAAAAATGCGTAAAAAAAAAATAAAATAAACTAAAATAATAATTGTAGATCGGGAATGCATAAATTAAGTTACA